TTTGACGTTCTTAAGGGTAAGTCAGTATTGTGGGCTTGGAAAGGAAAGAAGAAACATACTTGAGGATGGTACCAATAAGCTTGTGATGAAGTCCTGAATATCAGTGCATTGGATGTCTGACGAAAGAGGATCTGTGCTCTAAGATATCATTTAGGAGCTGTTGGGAGGTATAGTTGCCTTAAGACTTTCTCCAAATGTACTGCTACAAGAGAGAACAACAATAGAATGTATAATTAGGAGAGCCTGGAAACCCACTGACAAGTCTTTTTCTCTTCTTAAATACATCTTGTTGTATATGTATCTGAATCTATAGGTGGATTGATTCTCTGACCCTCAAATAAGCCAAGCTAAAATTGAGTAAGGACCATGAAGGGAATTGCATAGGGAAAAAATTGTGATGTGAAGACAGTTTGAGAGTCTAAAAAGACAAGATCTATTTTCTCTTGCAAGGAAAAAAGGTGATAGTCTCACTCAATAAACTCAATGTTATTGAGATCAAGGTCAACTATTTCTAAATCATTGATTTATCAACCTTGAAAACATGCTGTGAAGCTTAAAATTGTAAGAATTTGAGGAATAACTAAAAGACAGTCTGAATATGCAAATTGCTTGACTCAACTTTGTTATTAAATATTGCTTCTTTTTGATGCATACCATCTTGATATGGTCTGTATATATGTAGTGGTAAGAGATTTATTTGGGGAATGGGAACCAATATCTTTTGACTATCAGATACTATGAGTCAGGATTTGACGTAAATCCTAATGTGGTTGCAGAAAGAATACACACTGATTCAATGCAAAATATAGTACTGCCTCCAACTTTGCTCTTCTTTTGATGCCACTTTTTAATAGCTATTTTAAGATCTATCTCCTAGTAAACACTAAGGGTTCCTTTAAGCAATTATCTTATAATCTATGCTTACAAACTGTGCAAATGAACTTCTGCTCACTCCTCTCCTGGGCTATAGGTAAGATATGTTTCATTTTCAGCAGCAGATAAAATAAGATAACAATCTCCTAATGTTGTATTATATATTTCACAAAATATTTGCACTGAACAAATTCTAGGAGTCTTCAGATTCAAAAATCAGGTAAAGAAGGATGGGATTACATTGCTGCGATTTATAGAACTCCAGAGTGAATAAGAGATTTGATCAAATTTATTCAGTGAGTTTGAGATAAAGTTAGGATCAAAAGCCATATCCTCTGCTTTTTGCCCTGCAACAGTTCTCGTCACTTTCTGTCAGTAAATTTCTTTTTTAACATCAAATAATTATTTATAACCAAAAAACCTATCCCTTGCCAGGTACTTGAATAAATGTTAAAATTAAAAACAATGAGTAGGGCATGTTCCATGTACTGATGAATCTCAAATGCTTGTTTCATAATGCTCATTTTTTGCCCTAGTTAGGACCATAAGAGTAATATTGCTGATTCTGCCCACCTCAAGAACATCCCCTATGCTTGTGTCTTCACATCAAAAATTTTATGAGGGGACAATTCAATTAGTTATAAAAATCCTAAAATAGCTCTTATTAGTGTAAGATATTATGCAGGGTTGAAAGATAGGTATGAAATGTTCACAGGTACATACACAACATGCATACTGTTATTTGGAAAACAGCCTTCTTCTCAATTGAAGTCTCCAACAATTCCCTCACTTTATTTATATTATTTCTTATACTTCCTCTGTTTTTTGGTAAATTATTGGAAACTCATAAAGCCTTATATAGAAGAAACAAAAGAAATTGTGCAGCTTCTCACCACGCAGAAACTAGCCTAAAATAGAGATTATCTGATCAATTGTTCTTCTTTGGAATTTATCACCATTGATAAAATGATGGCTTTGGTTATTATGGCATCCCCCTGTATTTTATATTTAATGATTTTGTGTAAAAACAGGTTGGATCATCCCAGTGTGTGTCAATTTCTGGTCACGATTGCCAGCATCATCTCGTCTCATAACTTAGCTTTGGGGAGGAAGTTTTCCTATTTCACCTAAGGGTGCGTGGTTACAAAACTTGTCTCTTAATTCTTAGCCTTTTCCTCTCCTCCCTTGCCCACTTTAATTGCCATTTATAGAGAAATAATGTGTTTCACTGCATAAAGAATATTTTCTTTGAGGATCAGAATTGTATAGGTAGTAAGTACAGATTCAAGATTTTAAGATGGATGAATAAACTTTTCTTGGTGATTGATTAGGTTTTAAATTCTGTCTACTACCTTTCTTGCTGGTATCCTCATACTAGCTACAGCAGATTTATGTCTCCCAGGTACTCAAGCGTTAACAATTCAAGGTCTTTTCCTTTGCCTGATGCTTCTCTATGCACCCACCCCATTACACACACACAGACCCAGAAAATGCATGCATTCACAGTCACACACATATATACACGTCTTCAAATGACTACTTTTTTTCAATCCTGATCTTACTCAAACTGTTTCCTCCTTGAGAATTATTTCCAGAACACTTCACATAAAACACTATTATATGCAGCACTTCCATCAAGATGTATTATTTTATCCACAATATTTATCTTTATTTGCACCCATCTTGTTCACGATGCTCCATTCTAGCAGTAATTTTATTTTCCCGCAGATAACTATAATGCCACCTCCTACAAATAAGGGTCCTTAACAACAATTATTTGTTGAAAAAACTATTTGAACAAACATTTTGGATTTTAAAACTGACTCTGTGACTGTACATAAGGGAACACTTAAAGCTCCCATCATACTTGAATTTTTTTTTTTTTTTGTAAGGAATATCGGCCCTGGGCTAACATCTGTGCCCATCTTTCTCCACTTTATATGGGACACCATCACAGCCTGGCTTGCCAAGCAGTGCGTTGGTGCATGCCCGGGATCCGAACCGGCAAACCCTGGGTAGCGCGGGCACTTAACCATTTGCGCCACCAGGCCGGCCCCTTGAAATTTTTTAAAAATTAGAATTTCAAGAAAGTCTTTAGTGTATGCAGATAGAAGTCATACTAGGCTTCTAACTTTCCAAAGCCTTTCCTTAGCACAACAGAGAATTTCCCTTGTTTTCAGTTTTTCTTTTCTTTTTTTTTATTTACCATAAACTAAAATGCTCATAAGCTGAATAACAAAATCATACGGAATTGTGTTCTGGTCCTGCATCCACCCTTTATTAAATAGGAGGCTTTGGGCAAATTATTTTCTTCATTTCTTGCAGATTCTGTTTCTTATTCTGGAAACCAGGCATAAAAATATTTGATTTCTCAATCTCAGAGAATTGAAGTGATCACCTGAGATTATAGATGAAAAGGTGATTTTAAAGTACTATAAAGTGAACATGCAAATAGGAAGAATTACACCTGCGTGTTGCTACCTTTGGAAGAGTGGCAGGATCCAGAATGGGGATATTCTTTAGAAAGGAGTTGAATACTAGATCGTATGTCTTCAAATAAATTAGTTTTCATTACATAACTTTCATTCAAGACAATGTTTACAGAAAAGAAACAAACAAACAAACCCCTGAATGTTGAATTTTATGAATCTTCAAAATTCAGAGGCTCTTACTGGCTATTGTTATTCAAATGTTTGATCTTTGTGTGGCTGGCCCCGTGTCATAGTGGTTAAGTTCTGCTTTGGTGCCCAGTTCGTGGGTTGGAAACCCAGGTGTGGACCTACGTCACTCATCAAGCCATGCTGAGGTGGTGACCCACTTACAAAATAGAGGAAGATTGGCACAGATGTTAGCTCAGGGCAGTCTTCCTCAAGCAAAAAAAAAAAAGAGTCATCTTCTACTGGGTTCTGGGAAGAAAGAGTCCATAGTAGAAAATACACGGGTTGGCAGCTGAGAGATCCAGGAGAAAGAGATCCAGGAGAAAGAAAACGTGGAGGAATGGAGGACAGGGGTTCTATTCCCAAACTGCGATATACACCGAGGCTTATATGAGACCTGATTCTTGACAAGTTCTTGCCTTGTTAACAGTCACTGGAACCTCATCAATACAGGGCTAGAGAATGCTGAAAGGTCTGTAAGCTTCATTCTAATTCTAACACACTTGAGTTTGTGTTTACACTCATAGTTTCAGATCTGTGTATCAACATACATGTATACTTCTACTCCGAAATTTGAAAATAAAAAACATAAGTACAAAAATATATACTTTATTTTTTATGGTTTAATTTCTTAAAAAATATTTCCTAAAAATATGTGTGGGGAGTATGCACACACTGGCATGTCAGAATAAATTTCTGAAAATGTTTGATAATAGAGCTTCCTGTTTGATTCCCATACTTACTGTATTGTGAAAATAAATGTTTATTGGCTGACATGTGAAGTTATGAAAGGAACACATGATGGGTATTGAAGAGATATGAATTAAACCCTCCACTCTGACATAATAATTAACTGAAGGGACTAGACTTCTTTTTCAGACTATGAACAATGAAGAATTAGAACCAAGAGTGTTTCAGTCCCTTTCTGGGGCTGTATTTCAAACTTCATGTCTTTGAAAGGTTCATTTTTGTGGCACCTGAATCAAGCTCCTCATGTAGAATCTCCATCTGTCACTTCAAATTCTTTCTCCTCTTCTTAGGCTACTTTTCCTTTAAGTGGGCATTCTTGGGTTATGAATGTTCAGGACAACACCACAAGACTTTACGGTGGACTACATGTTCTGACCCAGCAACTCTTATGACCCAGCACTTTTTTGATTCTAGGGCCTGTAATTATACTTCTGGGATAAATTTTGTTGTGTGGCTCCTGATGCAGGCTTACCAGGTAGGCAAGACTTGTTCTAATCATTCAAACAAATATTTTGTTTAAGGGATCCTTATCTATGACAATGGGAAATAGGGCAAATTACATGGCCATGGTTATCAGAGAGACATTTGGGGGAGTTTTTATAAGGTCTTGGTTTATGACCAAGGAATGGGTTATAAGGAATGAGTTTTGACCCAGTACCTCCTTTGATTCTAGGGTCTATGACTGCCCTTCTGCCTGGAGTTGGGCCCCTCCTGGTTATCATGTCAGACTCCAACCACACCAGCACCTCCTTCTTCCTAACGGGCCTCCCAGGCCTTGAGGCTGTGCACACCTGGCTCTCCATCCCTCTGTGTGCCATGTATGTGGCATCTCTGGCAGGGAACAGCCTGATTCTGTGGGTGGTCAGATCAGAGCCCTCCCTGCATCAGCCCATGTACTACTTTCTGTCCATGCTGGCAGTGACCGACCTGGGCCTGTCTGCCTTCACACTGCCCACCATGCTCCCCATCTACATGCTGGGTCTCAGGGAGGTGACGGTGGATGTGTGCCTGGCCCAGCTCTTCTTCATTCACACCTTCTCCATCATGGAGTCCTCTGTGCTGCTGACCATGGCCTTTGATCGTTTTGTGGCCATCAGCAACCCCCTGCGCTATGGCACCATCCTCACGAGTCCCCGGATTGCCAGCTTGGGCCTGGCCATCGTGGTGCGCAGCATCGGTCTCCACATCCCAGCCCCCATCATGCTGAAGAAGCTGCCTTACTGCCAGAACCGCCTGCTTTCCCACTCCTACTGCCTGCACCCAGATGTCATGAAGCTGGCCTGTGCCGACACCCACATCAACAGTGCCTATGGTCTCTTTGTAGTGCTCTTCACTCTGGGTGTGGACTCAGTGCTCATTGTCCTCTCCTATGCGCTGATCCTCGAAACAGTGCTGTCCATTGCCTCCAAGGCTGAGCAACTCAAAGCCCTCAACACTTGTGTCTCCCACATCTGTGCTGTGCTGCTCTTCTATACACCTACCATTGGCCTGTCCATGATCCACAGATTTGCAAGGCAGGCTTCCCCTTCCAGCCGTGTACTGCTCTCTTATTTGCACTATCTCACACCTCCATTGCTCAATCCCATTGTCTATACTGTCAAAACAAAACAAATCCGACTGAGGATGCTCCGTCTCTTTCAGCGGAATAGAACTAGCAATAGGGAAAAAGAGCATAATTAAAATCTTTGCTGGATACATCAAAGGCAGGATGATGCTCTAGCTATAGTCGTAACTTTATCATTTACTTTGTACCAGGCAGATTATACAGAGAACCAGTGAGAATGGAGGCACCATCCTCAGTCTCACTAACTTCACTTTCTCTAATGGGAAGGTATAATCTACATTTTCATCTACACATTCATTGATTAAGCACGTACTTATTGAGCATTTACTGTATATTCTGAACTCCTCTAAGATCTAGAGATCAAAAGATAATCAAGTTGTTGCCTCTGTTTGGAAGGTAAATTTCATCATCTTTGATGTTCACATGGGGGCAACTATTAAGATTAAAGAATTCAGAATCATCTAAAAGTGTGTAAAGGAATGAGTAATAGTTGTAAAAAATCTAAGCTTCTGACTATTGTTGGTGGAAGGGGAAGAGGTGGCTGGTGTTGTAGGGCTGTTCAGTCAGAGATGAGGCAGGTTGGAATATTTGCATTCTCAGTTAAATGTAGTCTCCATGATGACAAAAATTATTTCTGTTGTGTTAGGCACAGAATCACTGCATATGGTATTATATTTTGCATGGAAATGCTTCTCAGTGAATGTTTGCTAAATAAATTAAAATATTTATTTCCATAAATGAAAAGATCAGTTAAGATTTGCAAAAAAGTTTTGTAGCAAATTTAAAATGTTCATGAGGAGACATAATGTAAGATATAAAAGTATGAAGATCCTGTCTTCAAAATGCTTCTTGATTGTCATGCAGAGCACCCGAAGATTTTATTGTTCTTCCCTCTTATTTAAAAGAAAAAAAAAATGGTAGGACAATTATTCTGCTGTTTGACTCTCTAATCACTGTTTAGAGTCATCAAGTAAGGAAAAATCATGAGTGAAAAAAGATTCCATGTTAATTTGCCGTTAGTTGGAAGCCAAACTTCTAATGACTTATCCATCCTGTATGCAACCCAGTAGTCAAAAGTGAGTGAAATAATTATTTTGGTGATGAAATATATGTGTTTTTTCTATTATTGCCCTCATTAACAATAATAGTAATTTGTCCATAATTCTGAAAACTTGCTATTTGTCTTCCTTACGTACAACCAATTGCAAGCAGCAGCTTAGTATATTATTGGGAGAGAGGTGGGCGAAAATTAGATGCCTGATAGCCATAATAATATCCATGGAAGGAAGAAACACACTATAATTATTAAACATAAAAAATAAAAATGGAACTGTCAAATGGCCAAATGGTCCCATTCTCTTTGATAGACTCTTGGGATGTCATTAACCACTAAATGTAGTAGACAATAATAGTGCTAATGTTCCCCAAGTCTTCAAGGGAAGTATAAAGTTCAAGTTAGATATTTGTGTAATAAAGTACAGGAAATATCCATGCTAAATGTTTAATATAGTAAATATATTTAGTACTTCAAAGTAACAACCTTTTCATTCACTAATAGTAAATCATTTACAGTGCCAAATCAACAAACTTTCTACTAATTTTTTGAGTGCGCCTATTTCCACCTCCATCTCCAGGCTTTCTTTGTCTAAATCATAGCCCTTCCAGCCTACATCTCTCCATGTTTCCTGTTTCCTTATTTAGATTCAAGAGGTAATCATTAATGGTTTACTCTAGGGAAGAATTCTTGAAAACTACCATAAAGTAGAGTGCAAGTCATAAGAAAGGATATTTTCATCTCTGCCACATGACTCTTAGAGACTCATTCATTCATTCATTCAACAACTATTTGACAGTTACTATGTTTAATTCTGGAGATATAGAGTTAAACAAGATGGACATCCAGACGGATATGCCCCCAACCTCCCGAACTTTGTGGCATATGAGTCAAAACAGTCTTTAAAAAATCAAATACAATAGAGTGGGTGACCTACCTTAAATAGATGTGTTGAAGGTTCAAGTTTACCCAACTGTAGTAGTGATACATGGCAAACTATAACTTAGCCAAGAAGAGGAGAGCAAAAGAGTTTCTGATAAAGAAAAGAATAATAAGATGGCTTGGTCCAATGACAACTTTAAGAATTTAAGAAACTTATTAGCATTTAAAACGGCTAGAGTTGAGAGTACAAGGTTATAACCGGAGTGAAGAGAGACGAACACTGGAGACGTAATAGAATTGTTGAGTTTATAGGCCAGAGTAAAGTGTTTAGACACTATTCTAGGACAGAAGTTAAACTCTGAAGGATTTTATGAGGTATTTTACATGGCAAATTAATGTTCTTAAATAATAAACATAGATTTCATTGTCAGATTCCTGTTACCATGGTTTAGCACTAAGGCCCATACAAATTCCATAATTCAACATTTGAGTTCACATAGTGGGAAATAATATGTTGAAGGCCCTTTACTTGGTTCTTAAGATTAAAAAAAAAAAAAAACATGTTCTTTTCCTATAGAAATAAAGAGGATCAGTGAGGAGAATGGATCTTTACAGAATATAAAGATTAGGAAACAATGAGACAATGAGAAGACATTGAAGTACAGAAGAAATTGTAGAAGGAGGAGAGATTACCCTCATAGAAGAACCCCAGTAACAGACACAAAAAGAGGATCGAAATTGTTGAAATATTGTTAATGTGGTTCCAGTAGGGGTTGTGGTGAAAACATATCTATCCTGAATTGTAATATTTTGAATACCCCAGATAACTTTCCCAATTCTTTTCACTCAAGTCTTATTTATGCTCTTCTCTCAATCAGATATATATTCTAATTTTGATATTTAACTATACTGTTACAAGTCTCTTAATATTTTCACTGCTATTACATTGTTTTCATTGTTAGAATACTTATATGTATTTATTTATATATTTATTTTATACTATATTCCATACTTGTTTCTAAGTTCCAAGAGAACAGAGACTGTTCATTGCTTCAATGTTGATCCTATGTACAGGGCTTAGGAATGAAAGAGCGATTGAATGAATGAATGAGCCACCCCAAAAGTTGCCTTGTCATTGGGATAAATGATTATATAATCTACTTTGATGATATAAATACATGTGTTGTAGATTTACATATTGTAGATATAGAGGGTAGAGGATAGATTATGACTCTTAGAATCATCTTTTTCTGCTGTTAGGACCTCATGTCTGGTTTAATAGGCAAATTTTCTCTCATCACTACAGAAAAATATTTCCAACAACTACTCTTCTACTGCCAGAAAGCTGGGCAGTAGGGAGACCATGGAAATAATATTCAAAATACAAACTATTACTAATTATAACTGTAAATCTAATATCAACATGGTCCTCACTGTCATATATTATATGATTTGGGGTTATTAGTCATGATTAGAGCTGAAAACAGGAGGCAGAGAGATGAGATTCATGAGATAAAGGAAATGTCTTGAGGATGTTTTATGGAAGAGGACAAAACTTAATACAGTTGCCCTGTTTTGAAGTTATAGCATATGAGAAGTATAATTCCATCTCCACAACTCCATAACAAAAATACCAAGTTTGAGATGGGGAGAATTGGGATATTTCCTCAGACATACGCCTGCACACAGGTGTCCTCCATCGGTTCACTCCGGATGAATTAGGAATGAGCAAACGTCTTTCAGGGGTACCGAGCACAGGAAGAAAGGAGCAACGAGAGCCCAGAACACATTAGCAAGGGCTGTCCTGGTTAACAAGTGAGGAGGTAGCCAGAGTTTTCCCTGAAGAAGCTAGAGGCTTTATTTCCTTAGGGGCCTCATAACTGTTACTTTAAAAAAGAAACAAATCTAACAAATATTTCAAATGTAAAAGTCATATTAGTAAAAGCCTAGGAAAGCATATAGAGTGAGAGAAGGAAAGAAAAGAACAAGCAAACTACAGGAAGGGTAACTTATTTGTATCCAATCCAAGAGCCATTGGCAAGAATCCAAGACAAGACTGCTAATGCACACACATGATTCTGAGTTGGATTCTTTTTTTACTACAAATTACATTAATAGCATGATTGGAAAAAGTTACATTCATTCTGAAAATTCAATGGTAGTAATGTGTCAATGTTAACTTCATGATTTGATGATTGTATTACAGTCATGTAGGAGAAGATCCTTGTTTGTAGAAAATACACACTAAAGAATTTGGGAGTAATAGAATATCGGGCAGAAAACTTACTCTCAGATGTTCCAGGAAAAGGTTCCTTGTGCTATATTTGAAAATTTTCCATATAAAAGATTTACTGAAAGTATCTCAGAGGAAAAAAAAAGAAATTTGAATAAAATAGTTATCTATAATTTTATATATAGCACTTGTCAATAACTATACACATAAGAAGAGGAGAAAATACTTTAAGTATTTCACATAATTAACAGTGTACAACTAATAGATAAGTGAACATTTTACAATATGGTGTGTTTTGATTTTGTAACATTTTTACAAAACCTTTTTATATATGATTCTTTATATTCTGCCTACCAGAAACAAGATACATTTCTCAGGGGTTCAGAAAAGGGAGAAATGTTTACTGAGAAATTCAGGGAACAATAAAAGTGAAATTTAGAGAAGAAAAATAAATAAGCCTTATGTAAACATTTTTGTTGATTCCAGACTGAAATGGAGACTTAAAAATTGTTCAGAATTCAGATACCATCTTTCATCTTTGGGTGTTTACTTCTTGCCTTCTCCTTTTGAGTATCTGTTGAATTTTCAGTCATTGCAGTGAGTCACTCTCCCTCTGAGACTAGAAAAGATTTGTGGACTCTGGGGAAAATGCTGCCATTTACCCATTCCTCACAGTCCCGGGAAACTACTACCCTGGAGGTAAGCAGGCGGAATCTTGCACTTGCATCATCCACCAAGAGAGAATAGTGGACTCCCCGGAGCCTGGTTCACCTGGCTGAAGAGCATAGTCCTCTCGTTCCTGCTCATAAATCTCAGCATTCTGATTCCTTGTGCACAAGGACTGGTGAGGAGAGAGCGTTCAGAGCTTACTCAGGAGCAGCAGAGCAGGAGCAGCCTTACATTCTCAGTAACTTTGGTCACTGTCACCTGGTGTGTGTGCTGCAAGT